CACCACAGCTACCATCCTTTCAGCAGCAGCAGCAGTGGTATTATTTCTCTCCTTCCAATAACACAGTCATTGCAATATTGACAGTATATTAATTGCCCACTCTCCATCTCTCAACATGTTTACTGTGGCCAACTCTGTTGCAGATTTTTCTTTACTGATAACGCTTTCATATCAACATTCTCTATTCAGTGACAAATGTACTTCGAGTAGCCTAAATTGTCCTTACAACATCGATCAGTCTGTGCAACAGCGCAACAATCCAACACTTGGTGTCTACAGACCTGTGCCTCCAACTTATGATCCAACATCTGCAATATACATGCCTTCACCTCCAACATATGAACCAACACTTGCAGTCTATAAGCCTTCATCTCCAAATTATGAGACAACACCTGCAACCTACAAGCCTTCATCTCCAACTTACGAACCAACGCCTGCAGTCTATGGCACATCACTTTCAACTCACAAAACAACATCTCAAGTCTACGCACCATTGCCTACAGTCTACAAGCAAGTAACACCCAAAATGCCTGTGCCTCCACCAGTGTACATATCAGAACCTACAAAGCAAGAAACAGGTAAATGAAATATTATAGTATGTTCTGATTTCAGCAGAAATAATAACAAATTAACAAGGAAAGTAAACTTAACCCTGAATCACAAGTTATGAAATTATGAACCAAAACTAGAGCATACTAATAATATAAACATATCTGGATCTTTTACAGTTCAGTTCTGAGAAAATTATGGAACTCCATCTCGAAATGGAGAAAATCAGTACTAGAATTTTCACATTAAAATCCATTTTATGTTATATGTACTAAAGACGTATTTCAACCCCTTTTTGTATATAAGATAATTCAGAATTTACTCAATCTATAATATGAATCTATACATATTACTTAAGGAATATACAAGTATTTAGAGAAGAAAATGCATGTAGCAACACTGATCATTCCAGTGTGGAAGGGCTGTCAAGCCATCAGCTGTGTTAATAATGTGCAAACTGTCTACTGAAATACAGATTATTTATAAAAGTGATATATGATCGCTGTTAAATATTTCATTAAACACCAGTTCTATACACTCTGCCAGAATTCATGGAGACTAGTATTTCAAAATTTTCTTATTCAAGTGAGTCTATAATAAGATGTCTCATAGATAAGTTCTGTAAGAAAGGGGGCATCAACATCAAGAAGAGAGAAATTGTGATGCAGTGAAGGAGGATGTATTTCATGGCTTATGTAAAATATTGGCAGAATTATGATGTTAACCAAAATGTAATAAAATGTGCTGTTTTCTGGGATGTAACACCATGTAGTCTGGTAGCAATTTACTGATGTCCTAGAGCAACATATTTCCTCAACCTTCAGGGACATATATTAGGCAAAAGCAAGCAGCAAATAGCTTGCTTGGCTTATGCTTGAACTTTGAGGATGGAACATCAGTAAACATCTAGCAGACTATGTGGTGTAGCTTCCTAAAGAGAATACTCTTCGTAGTCACCTCAAATCTTCCCAGAACTTTTATATCTCAGACATTTTTCATGACTTTCTAACTACCTTGCATTAGTCAGTTATTCAAGAATTTCGCATATCCACATACATTGTTCCCTTTCAATTTATGAGAGAACAACTGAAAATAACATGATAGAAAAAAACTATTTTAAAATCAGTGCTGGATAGAAAGGAAGTCTATAGATTCAGAACTGTTCAAGCATATTCATATTCATTTGCATATCGGTTCACATTTGCAATGCAATATCACGGGGGGTGGGGGAATATTTAATGCTTTCTATACCATTAAAATGGGAGTTGGGATAGCATAGTCAGTATAGCAACTGGCTACAGGCTGCACAATGGAGCGGTTGGAGTTCAAGTCCCTGTAAGGTCAAGAATTTTCTCTTCTCCATGTCGTGCAGACCACCTCTGGGGCCCACCCAGCTTCCTATACATTTGGTACCAGGGGGCTTTTCCTGGAGGTAAAATGACTGGGGCATCAAGCTGACCACTTACCTCCAACTAGTGCCAAGGTCAAGAAAATATGGATCTATACATCCATTCCCCCATACACCTTTATGGCATAGTGGTTAATTAGTTAAGTATAGGGGCAACTTTACCTTTTATGCCATTAAAATGCACGGTATCCCACAGCTATCAAGCAGTTAATTAAATGGACTTTACAGACTACATTTTAATACACTCAGGGCACCAGTAGAAGTTCAACATTCCCTTCTACTGCACTGAATGTGGCATATGTATATTGTCAAAACAATTTCATAAGCCATTGTCAGTTACAGCAAGATCAGAAAGTTGGCTACATACAATGCTAATAATGATGGTGGCATGAGGATCTTTTCCAGAAAAATTCAATGTGAGAAAGAGAGATGAGACTGTAAGTCCAAAGCCAGTGAATGCAAGGACTTTTTATCTGACTTGTAATGGAGAGGACTTTCAGTTTCTTTCTGAACTGCCTGTCATGTGTGATATGCTTCTGCATCTCTCCCAGCACAAACTTGATCAAGAATGCTACAATATTATAATTACATTTTGGAAATGTTTATTATTCCACTCAAAACTGTTAGCATTTAGTCTGTTTTCCCATAAACAGGAAACTCAAGATATCTGTATTTTGTATGCAAGTATGTTTGTAAAACTGTGTGTTTATGGGCACCCACATATTTGTATATTTGTGTCTGTATTTGTGTTTATACACAATGTGTGTGTATGCATGCATATGTATTTGAGCACGTCCTTGCATGTGTGTACAATAATTGATTGATGGTCTACAGTTTGTTTGTTATTTTACTATTGGTGACCAGCAAGTGAAATCAAAATTTTAAAACCTGATAATAGCCTGCAGAAGTTTTTAAATGTCCAATATCTTCTACTCTTAAATCAGCCAGCAAATCAAGAAAATTTCTCTTTCTTAAATAGTATGAAATATAAAATCTGTGTTTCCTATTCATCTTCCTTTCTTTCTTCCATAGTGAACACATAACTGGAAATATAGCACCTGCAATTACAGTACCTTCCTGCAGCATGAATCACTATAAATGGTCACAAAAATGCAATTTAAGCACATGTTTATACACTATACATACGTATGCTCTTCACAAATCATTTACATAAGTATGCAGAATTTTGTTAGGAAATATTTGCCAGTGAGTATGCAGCTTATTAATTTTGCCAAGTGTTTCTTTGTGCGTGTAAATCATGGTCTTTACTCTGTGGGAAAACCATTGTTATTTAAAACTGTGTGCATACAACGTGGTCAAGAAAATATTTTAACATAAGTGAAGTGACATAACTGGAACATATAAATATTACAGAATAAGGAACTTCATTTTCAGTTACACTTAGTACCCAATACTGATAGGATAGTGTAAGGATAGGAAGAGGATAAAATGGGTTATGCATTTAGCTTGAATGGGAAAGACAATGCAAACAAAATCTAGGATGGGTAAATCTCTTGGAAAATAGCCACTTTAAGGTCAAGAAAAAAATATGCAAAAGTAATATTAAGTTGTATTCAAGGGAAATAGGTTATGAGGATGTGAGATGAATGAAATTGACTCAGATTGTATCTGACAACAAGAATTTATATCAACAATCTCCAATGCTAGAGTTCTACTACCAAAAAGTTACACTTAGTTGTATAACAGCTTACATTACATGAATATGTATCCCCATCACCTGTCTATGATTTTTTTTCCCCCATAATAATTTGTTTATTATTGTGTGACAGATCCAGGCAAAGGAACACAATGTGGAACACTAATAATAAGAAGTAACCCACTCATCACTCATGGAGAAGATACATTCCATGGTCAGTGGCCCTGGCATGCAGCTCTGTACTTGTATGTGAACCGTGATATTAGATACATGTGTGGTGGGTCTTTTGTTGGCACCAGAAGTGTTATCACAGGTAATTAGTTTTAGAGTCCACATGCCACTTTACCAAAATGGAGTTTGTGTATGATGGTGAACATAAAATTTATCATGCCATTAAACTGCATAAGGGCCGCAGACTTAAATCTCCATGAATTCCAGAACTTTGAACTACATGGAAATGAAATTGCAGTTCCTCAGTTCAAAAGAGTTCTTTCCACTAGATGGAGATGAAATTTCAATTTCACACTTTACAACAGCTCTACTCCTAAAGATGAGCTTCCAGTACTAAATAATGAGACTGGGAAGGTTCCAGAACTGTTCTGGACTTCGTGACAACAACAAAAATTCTTTCTCTTATTATGGCTCCCATTTGTTTTTAATGAACATGAACATTAATGTTCCTTTGTTCTAAAAAGTCACAAAATAACTTAATGGTACCTAATCAGGGACTTGGCCATTATTTGAGTGGGTGGACCATACAAGGCCTTAAAAGTGCTTTCATGGTCCACAGCATTTGAGACTCATAGATAACTGTTCCAGTATTCTTAAATTTATTGTTTGCATCCTGTTGTGTGTCATATATAGCATTATTATACAACTATCAGCACAACAAATTCATATTAAATAACCAATGGTATTGTATTATCTTTCCCTTATTACATACATTTGCTACATGTTTTGGTCCATCTGGATCATCAGGCAGTTGTTCATGAGATGTACTAGTTGTTATTCTATTGTATTTCTATGTATTTCTAATGTGGATCAGTATTAGTAATCATTAATATGAACTTCGTTACAATACCTGTGTTTCTTTTATTTTTGATATTAGTCTTAAGATGTAAAACATTATAAATCAGTTGAAAATTAAAAGTAAAAAAATTAAAAACTAAAAATTAAAAATATTTCTATATTTACCATGGAGTACAAGTTTATGATGTTGTATTGTAGAGTAACTGGGATTTTTGGGAATCTGCGTTCATTTTCAGTTCTTTGTGCACATATTATATGGTGGTTTTCCATATGAATGTGAAATTATGTTCTCTTTTCCTTTCTAGTGACAGTGGTAAAGTTATTTTGTGTGTTGTAACACGTCCTACTCACAGATGCCACGCCCGTTTGCTATTAGATAGCAGTTGTTCTCATTCTGTGGTTCTATTTGTAATCAAGTACAAATACAGTACAAATAGAACCACAGAATGAGGAGCCATCAATTAACTCATTTGCATGAATTCCACAATTGACATCTATCCATCTATTTTAATGAAAGATTATTCACCTATATTTTGAGTGAAATGGATTAGAAGTATGATGAGGGAATTCTAAGCACTATACAATCTTTTCATTTTGTAACTTTTATAATTTAGTGTTCATAGCAGGGTGAAACAACCTGAACTTTTTGATCCATCTAAGAACCTGAGATATAGTATTTACAAAAAATCATCCCATTTCCTGACATTTTCAACAGTATAATGCTTCTAACACATCAGAATTCAGTAGAAATAAATGTCCTCTGTAATGCATAATTTAATAAAGGACCAGGGTAGCTTAGTATAGCAATGGGCCATTTGTTTCGTGGCCAGGGTTCGATTTCTGGCACGGACAAGATATTTTTCTCTTCTCCACAGCATCAGACAGGCTCTGGGGCCCACACAACTTCTTTCCCAATGGGTATTCGGGGCTCCTTCTCCAGGGGTAAAGCAGCCAAGGCATTAAGCTGTCCACTCACCTCCATCAAGTGCCGATGTTATAAATGGTGGAGCTATGCCTTAGCTCCCCATATGTCTTCATCGCATGGTGTCTAATTAATTAATTAAGCACTACCTTTTACAACATAGTAAATATATTTCACTATATTTTATTGAATTATATATTGTGGCCTTCAAATTTATTAGGCTGAGAGTCAAGTTTGGTGAAGGTTTAAGGCTTTTACTGAACATAATACTATTTCATGAATAAACAAATAGCTGGAAATATAAAAATAATATTGAATTGAAAGAAAATTATTGTTTTCCGCAAATCCGAATCATACATTAGCAGTGCATACAAAGTGATATCTCAAAATAGGCCTGTTCTCTTGACAGCTGCCCACTGTGTCACCAAAAAGGAAAAACCAATACGTCCAGGCGATTTCATAGTTTACTTAGGAAGATATAACCTCAGAAATCTGAATGAGGAAGGCTCTCAGAACAAAGATGTATGTACCTTTCATATTGTTTGCTACATTTCCCTCAATGTGATTTCCACAGTTACTTTCTTGCCAACATTTTTCACTGCATACATTCCTATAAGGTATAATTTATAGCAAACATGTAATATAATCTGGGCAAGGCCTGGTCGAAGTTTCACAACTTATAGCGTTATTTAGCACAAAAAATTATACATTGTATTCAGTGAGTCAGTAATGCAATTCCTATATATTTTTTCATTTAATAAAAATTTTTAGGAATTTTATTCAGTATTTTGCAAAAGCGAGCTGGTGTCATCAGTGTATAATAATTTTTATTCATGTTCAGGTGATTTTGATACATGTGCATCCCTCATACAATGGAACGTCCACCACTGGAGATATAGCTCTGCTGATCCTTTCCAGCACTGTACAGGTCACTGCAATTGTGAGACCTGTGTGCCTCTGGGGTCAAGATGATAGTAATCTTGCTGATATAGTCAACAAAGAGGGTTTGGTAAGGTTTGATTTCTAGAGTGAATCAGCTTGATTATATGACACTCTATGCTACAAGATTCTTTGGTCAAATATAGTTCTTTCTTTCTTTTTTGCTTCCTCCCCCCCCCCACACACACACACACACAGCATGCATCTTTGCCGTAGGTATGTTGTACACTGTCCACTGTGTGAAGCTTATCAGACATTTGTAACATTTTGGGAGTTGCTCTGTATCATTTCTTAGAGATGATAAATACTGCTGAACCTGATGGACAAACTAGGTTGATCTGCCACATATATTCTAGAAATAATCAAGCATGGTTGTCGTGACTGAAGGTTTTGCTGGGATATCATGTTTCCAGTTCCTATCATGTACCTCAATGTACAGTTAACTGTGTAATAAGTATCAAACCATTGAGTAAAACAATTTAATTTCTACAGGACTTGAAGTTCTTACAGCTGTAGTTATGAAGAATTATATTTGCTTGGATGTAACACCATGTAGCCCATTAGAAGTCAACTAGCAATTTAGGAGAATATGTTATCCCCATCTTCCTCCAGAATGTTAGTTGACTTCCAGTGAATTGTATGGCATTATATCCCAGAAGATAGAACTCTTAATTTCTGCTGCTTTTAGTCTGACTTTCCTTGTATCACATTTCCCTTGAGATTAAAACTGTCATTTCTTGCATTACACATAGATGAGCAGATAATCAGAAAATTGGTTGTGTGTCAAACAGGTGGTTGGCTGGGGTTTAAATGAAAATGACGAGCCTACAGAAATTCTGATGATGGTGAGCATGCCCGTAGTTAGCCAGCAGACTTGCATCTGGAGCGATCCCAACTATTACTCCCAGTTCACCTCCAACAAAACCTTCTGCGCAGGATTTCGAAATGGTATGTGCAACCTGAAAAAACAAAATAATTTTATAATATGTGCCTGGCATTATTATTAAATAACTGGCTGTGGAATTGGAAAGACATAATTTAATATGGAAAACAAAAAATGTATACAACCTTTTGATCAGAAAACTATATGTGAGGATGTCGGTTTGGAAACCAAAGCTCAGTTGGAGAAAAACATTAAAATGTAATTTACAGAAATAAAATGTGAAAGATGTGAATTGTAATGAACAGGTTCAAGACAAGCCCCAATCATAAATCTTACTTACAAAAATCATACAGTCTCAGGTTCTGTAACAACAAGAATTAGGAAGTCCCTTGATCGGACACCACTCAGTGCATTATCTGTACCACAGAGTCAGTCAAAAGCTAAAGTTAGTTATTTAATTAAACTGTCAGTATCACGGTTATATAACATCAATTATAGGATGTTAATGAATGTGAAAGAGTTGCTGGAATGAGAACTGGCAGAGGAGGCAGAAGTACATGGAGAGAATCCACCCCAGTGCCACTTCATCCACCACACTTCCCACATGACCTGATCTAGAATCAAATCCGGGCTACTATGGTTGTAAGCCAGTGACTGATTACCCAAGGTATGGCATGGCCCTGTAGTAAGTCAAGTCAGTCAGTCCTCTTTATACTATCCAGATATCTGCTACAATGATAATAACTCACAATAAAAAAAACTCCGTAGTTTTAGTCTGCAAGCGAACTATACTGACCGAGAGACCGCCACTTGCATAGAGATTGGGTTCCAGTCCACTACTTTTTGTAATGATCTACCACTACCTTTACTCCTATTTTTCTCCACTAGTTCTTCTACCTTACCAATAAAATATGAATTTAATGTACCTGCCACCTTCTGAGGTTGTGCTACATTCTTTAAATTGTTTTGTAACCAAATATTCTGATATGATTTCCCTTAACTTCCCATTTTTTATTAATTAACTGCCACATTTTAGTTCGGTTTGAAACACTTATTATTTGTCTGTCATTGTTTCGTTTAGCTTTGTACATAACTTGTTTATAGATTGCTCAGACTGAAGTTCCTTCCCTTGATGTTCCTGAAATTGTATTTCTGAAAATTACAGTAAACATGTGATGGTGCCATGGAAAAATGCTTGTTTGTGAAGGTGTTACTTAGCAATGGCTTTTGTGTAGCTGCTTCTTTTGCGTCCTTGCCTAGCAACGGGTCTACATGGCACAATGCATTTGGACGTGGACTAAAATAGAACATCCTTTGTGAATCGCCAGTACTCTTGTCATTTTCAATAACATCCTTTCATTTTATTTTTGCATTTAATGAAAAATTGTTATCAGAAAAAGCATACTGTTATGTTTAGCTATGAAATCCCTCTGTACTTACATGGACATGTGTTGCAAGTGTATGAAGTAGTATCATAGTCTCAAAATTAAAATTTGAGCTAGTTAAGACATATTACAATGGTATTTTCCATTTAAAAAGATTACCCTTATAAAATTTACAGGTTTTCCAAAGGTCTATCAGCGTGTAAAACTTCAGGATTCTATGATCGCATTAAGTGTGCTAGTGTTTCCCCAGCTCCTGAATTTGCATGACTGCATGTTAGTATTATTAGCAAGCACTTAAATAGTACAAGCATAAAGACCATTAATTGTTTGATACGCTGAATTTCACTGTAGTCCATCAATGTTGCAATATTGATATGTATATTAAGGCAGACGATAAATTGTTGCTGTCCTTAGTTAACCAAGAACCACACCATGAATGCATAGGGGGAAGGAGAGGTATAACTCTGCCATTCTTGACCTTGGCACTAGATGGAGGTGACTGTTCAGCTTCATGTCCCAATTTCCCCCTGCCCCCCCCCACCACCACCACCACCACCACCACCACCACCAGGAAAGAGCTCACAGCAATCACCAAGTAGAAGACTGGATGGGTCCCAGAACCCACCTGGACACTGTAGAGAAGAGAACAATCTCTTTCCCCTGTCAGGAATCAGACTCCAGCCATCCTGCCTAAAGCTCGCCACTATATCAACTCAGCTATCCTGGCTTGTATTGGTGTTCATACTGTAATCTGAATAGACAGTGTCACGTAACTTTGAACAAGGCCCCGCATTCCTAGTCAAATCCTGCGCATAGCTTGTGGTGGAAGGAGTTTCTTAACACTCGTTCTTCCACTTTCACCGACCCTTCGTGTTTCATTGAAACTACCCTATTCTCTTTTCAAAGAACATATTACAATACTACAAATATATTGTCACTCGTCCTGCAAAGAAAAATACGTTTAATGTGTGTACATTTGCAATTACTTGCTTCATCAGTGAGTGTAGACCTATACCCTGACCTAATTTCTTACTCATTATGTACGATTTAGCGCACAAGGAAACTGATGTCTTTAAACAGATGATAGAAAAACCATATGTATAACCTGCTTCGAGGGTGCCTTACAAACAATTGGCCACCTGTCACTTCTCACACCCTCGAACCCACCCCCTTGTCTGAAATTTTTCTTCTATGCATTCAAGGTTACTTTTGGTCTTGTTCAAAGTTACGTGACACTTGCTATAAATGCACTGACACTTGTGTCATGATGTTAAAAAATGGAGTTCCTTTTTTCATAGCCCTTAACGATTGTCCAACATTGTTCAGCATTTCACAGAGAATTATCATTATTCTGTGTATTGTTAATCCCTCCTCTTATGTTTGTAGATTGAAATAAGTCTTAATCGCATATGTCAGGTCTCCAAATCTGTCTGGTTCCTGTGCAGATCTTGGAGCAAGGACAGAAAAATTCCACTTACCCAGTGACACCAGAATTCATAAATATTCCTTGAATAAAATTGATTACTATTTTTGTTCTTAGATTGCACTCCAGGTTGTTCTGTTATTTCTTTAAACTTCCATTTTATACATATTCAGAGACAATCACCTGCTCATACACAAAGGTTTAGTATTTATTTATTTATCTATTTATTGCAGGTAGTAGCGTATGTAACGGTGACAGTGGTGGCGGAATGGTGTTTCCCAAGTATCAGAGCAACGGCACTCAAATTTGGATGCTCCGTGGTATTGTCTCCCACAGTAGGCTAAGATATGGTTATGCTAATATTTGTGATACTAGAAGTTACATAGTCTTCACAGATGTTGCACAGTATTTGAACTGGATATATGAAATCCTAGTTTAACATACAGTCCAAAGTTATAGTCATTTAGTATGGCATGGAGCTTGTGAGTTCATCAGAATCCCAGACTTGCAAAGTAATATTTCAGTTTTTAAGTTTTAAAGGACTCTTCTTTCAGATGTGGAAGAGATGGCCTCAAGATATATACAAGTAGTTAAGCATGCCAAACCTGCAACTGATAGCAGCTCTGATTCTCCAGCTAAGAATTGGCTATTGAGTTAAGAATCTCTATGAAATAATACTGTATTACTAAATTGCTTCTTAATTTGACTGATGGACTTCAGTGCTACAGCTTGATTGCTGCAACATAAACCATGAAGAGGAACATGCAGAAGGGAATTGAGGTTTTCATGGCAGTGAGAATTCAAAACTCAGGCTCCCTGAAAATGGAAGTAGCATGTTTGCCAAAGCATTGATACCACCTGCCAGATTATGTGGTGTCAGAATGTAAAGAAAAAAAAACTATCCCTGTAACAGACCTTGGAGGCCCGTAGGGTTCTGAGATATCGAGGCTCCCACATTTCCTAGATAATCGGCTCATAAATGGCTGTGAGGTTGTCAGACTTACGTGCCGGCTGGTACTCATTTCTGTTAGAGGCTGAGTCAACCCCAGGAGCATAGCGTGGCTGGAAGGATTAGGTAAATTGAAACCTCCAGTGGCCTCATCAGTTACTGAACCTGCAACTTTCCAACTTGTAGCATAGTGCCTCAACCAACTATGATACTGTGTGCCCCCAGTATTAGAACATACAAGACTGAAATCTAAATGAACGGTGAGATGAGTCTTATAACATGATTGGGGTGGTAGGTAAAATAGAAGCTCGCTTTCTTCTGTAATATGTGGGAAGAAAGCTGATTCAAGTGGTTCTAGTAACTGCACTACATTATTACATCTGTGTAATGTCACAGTTCATTATTTTATAGACTTTCAGTTGTTATCATTCCATACTGGATATTCAGTGTTGTTGCATTTTGTTATTTATTTATTTGCTTTCTAATTTATTTCTCATATAGTTGGTACACAGTTATTGCAGAGAACTCATCACTGAACGTATCCATATAAACTTTATGGAATTTTCTAAATCTAAAAGCTTTCATACACTTCTGCAATTAATTAAGAGTAACTCTTCTCCCAAATTCCTAAATTATGGAACTGGGTATTTATTACCCATATTAATAATGTATCTTAGAGAGATAGGATGGGATGGTGTGGACTGGATCAATCTGGCTCATAATAGGGATGAGTGGAGGGCTCTTGTCAACATGGTAGTGAACTTTCTGTTTCCATAAAACGCTGGGAAGTTCTTCAGTAGCTGCACAATTAGTGGCTTCTTTAAGAAGGGCTCAGCTTCATAAGTGATGGTTTTATGATTGCATAGTTCCACTGAACAAAAGCGCCTATTCTTCACACTGGTTTTTCTTAAAATAAACTGAACTAAAATAATTTTTTGTTTCTTATATCACATATTTTTAATAAAAGTCATAAAATATATGAAGAAGAAGTGGAGGAGAGGAGGAATAAGAAGAAGAACAACAACCACCCTAAAATGACACTAAATGAACTACAACGAACAAATATTTGTTGCTTATCATTAAATTCATTTTATAACAATTAAAATATGTGATACCACAAATCTCTGTTGTTTGCTATCACGGCACTGCATGGTGCTAAGATTGCACTTTAAATACCAAATACAAGTGTCCTAGAACTATATTTCCATACTCCAGATGTCTGTGAATTAAGTACTATAATAAGACAACCATGTTAGGTGGATCCCTTGTCACCATGGCATGGCAAAACCTCAGGTTGTGTGGATGGAGGAAACGGCCTCAAGATATGGAGGGTAGTTGCGAATATATTGGATAAGCAGTTGTTAATAGCCGACAAGGGGTGGTCCTCTGGCTTGTGGTTTAGGCGTGGGGCTAACAACTCCTCACCATAGAAAATAAGCTTCTTTAGAAATGACATAAAGGGCCTCGGACTTGGACATAGGAGAGTGGAGGATGGTATTAAAATGAATCTTAGAGAGATCAAATGGGATGATATGGATTTGATTGATCTGGCTCAGGATAGGAACCAATGGAGGGCACTTATGAACAGGGTAATGAACCTGTGGGTTCCATAAAATGTTGAGAAGTTCTTGAGTAGCTTCAAAATTGGTGGCTATTCAAGAAGGGCTTAGCTACATGAAGTTAGTTAATTAAGTAAATATAGTGAAATACAATTAAAAATTTTAAACTTCTGTTTTTGTTACCACAGTAGAGCACCAAACAAGTTGGTCTATTCAAAAAACTTATCAGGATATCTGGTGTCTCAACCAAAATTCCAACCTAGATCCTCCTGAGAACTGGCCTACAGCCTTTCCACCAGACCAGCTATTGAGTTTTATGTTCTTACTCTTAAAGATGTGTGAGAATTAAGAAATATGGTCACCCTCTCCAGTAAGAACATAATTCTTGAAATAATTAATAATTTTGCTTACTATTAAACCCAAACTATAATATACTCATACATAAAAGAAATGTGTAATGGAGCGATCTACAGGTACAGAGTGGAGAACTATTTGACTTCAGCCAATGTGTCCAGAGGGTCATCAGTCAGGGGTAGTGTGAACAGTTGCTCTTTGTGAGATAGTTCAGTTTCCTGTAGTCCACGCAGAAGCACAGGTCATCGTTCTTCTTCCGGACTAGAACGCCAGAATAAGCAGCATTGCAGCCAAGATTCAAAATGGCCACCTTCCGAATACAAGTCTTGGTACCACTTTAACCAGATTTCTTATTAGCTGATATTACTTACTCACTTACTTACTTACTCAAGGAGCTGAGCCCTTCTGGAGGAGCTGCCAATTCTGCAGCTACTCAAGAATTTCCCAGAATTTTATGGAACCCGAAGGTTCATTACCATGTTCACAAGAGCCCTCCACTGGTCCCTATCCTGAGCCAGATCTGTCCAATCCATACCATCCCATCCTATCTCTCTAAGATCCATTCTAATATTGTCCACCCACCTACACCTTGGTCTTCCTTGTGGTCTCTTTCCTGCTGGCTTTCCCACCAATATCCTATACACATTCCTCATCTTCCCCATTCGTGCTACATAAACTGCCCACTTCATTCTCCTTGACTTGATCATTCTAATTATACTTGGAAAAGAGTACAAGTTATGCAGCTCCTCATTATGCAGTTTTCTCCAACCTCCTGTCACTTCATTTCTCTTCGGTCCAAATATTCTCTTCAACATCCTGTTCTCGAACACCCTCAGTCTATGTTCCTCCCTTAATGTCAGAGACCAAGTTTCACACCCATACAGAACCACAGGCAAAATTATAGTTTTGTATATTCTAATTTTTATGTTTTTGGACAACAGATGAGAAAACAAAAGGTTCTGGACTGAATGGTAACAAGCATTACCCGAGTTCAATCGCCACTTAATTTCCTCCTGAATCAGGTTTTGATCTGTTATCGTTGTTCCCAAATATCTGAACTGTGTCACATTTTCAAAACATCTGTTTCCTATATTTATGTCATGATTTCGCCCTGCATTTTGGTGATGAGGCAGTAACATATACTTAGTTTTCTCTGTGTTTACTTGTAGACCAACCTCTTTACTTGCGTCAATTAAAGTTTGTGTGTTTTTCTTTATGGTATCTACATTATCACCCAGTAGAT